GAGAGAGAGAGAGAGAGAGAGAGAGAGAGAGAGAGAGAGAGAACTGGAAAAGTACCCAGTTGACAACATTAATACTGTCACCACCATCCCTTTTCCAAACAAAAACATTGTTCTAAAAACATCAAAACCCAAACAGCAATCAGACATACAAACAAATACTACACAAATCAAAAGTACTGCCTGATTTATTTTTTAAAAAAAATATATAAACGATTGCATATCATTTATTAAGCTGTTTAACATGGGTGCATTCTAACACCATTATCCCCGCAAAGACAATAGCATACCTGTAGTCCTGTGTGCTTTGTCGACTCATGTTGAGGGATGAATGATGACTCATGACAGGGCTGTAAGAAGGAAAGAAAGATAACAGTAATTATGATAAAATACCTAAATGAGATGATGGTAACAAGTCATAAATCAGTGACACACTTCTCTTCTTCCCCTTTTCTCTGTCATGTTTAAACAAATCATGAGCAATTATTACAGATCACTCTCGACTTTCGTTCTTGTTTGAAAACCTCCAAGCCAAGTTGAGATAATAACACCTATCCCCCTTAAAAAAACAAGAACAACCCCCTGCCCCTGACCACCCCCACATCCCCTCCTAAAAAGAGAAAAAAAAACCTACCAAAAGTAAATCCCATTGAATGTAATCATTTCGTTGTTGAAAAAACAACAACAACAAAAACTCACCTAAAATTAAACAAGAGAAAATTGCACAAAAGTCCACTATCCAAGACAAGGGAACCTATGCTCCACTGAGCTTGAATCTACATCATAGCATTCGGCCCATCCAACCCCAAGTCAAATCATGAGGGAAAACAAAAGTAAAGCAAATGAGCGCTTGATTGTTCGCTGCTTTGACCCCATCGCGCAAGCCCTCTCACAGATAGGCGTTTATCTACAATTTCAAAACCAGGACATTACCGTACACACTCCACAGGAACGACGCCATTTACTTGTCGCTTTGTGGAACGTACAACGCTTTTGTGAATTCCAACACGTATTCGTTTTCTCTGTTCCTCAGTGTCAAAAGTAACCGATTGCTACGGTTTATAATATACCCTACACGAGAAGTTGCCCATCCTTTTGCCGACAGCTGGCTTGGCTCAGACATAATACGAAATACGACGTTTAACTCTAGGGGGTCGGTCTTGTCGAAAACTTGTTCTCACAAAGTAAGGCAACACAGACCTACGTCATTACCCTTCTCTATTCCTCCCCTCCCCCCGGCCACCC